AGCGGGCTCGCGGGGCTGCCCGGACCTCGCGCCCCCGACTTGGGGCGCCAGGCTTCTTTGGGGTGAAAAGTCTTTATCTGGGAGGAGAGTTTCTCGGGAGACTCGGAGCTTAACGAGAACCCCGCGTGTGGTGCATGGACAATAGTCCTGAGCAGGCTCTGGAGCCAGCGGAGCTGGGAGGGGGCCCCTCTCTGAGGACACAGACCCCCGCCTCCTGCAGCCGCAGCTCCTCCCGCCGCAGCCCGGCGCAACTGAGCGCAGTTGTAACAGCCTGGAGAGGGACTGGCCCTCAGCCGGGAGCACGGTGGACGGCAGGTGACCTGGGATCTGGCGGCTCCGGAGCTGGGCAGGAGGACCGTGAGAGTTCTGAATGGTTCTGGTGGCCTGGGGGAGCCGGGTCCCCACACTCATGCGAGGAGCGCAGAGAAATAGGCCGCCCCTTCGGGAGGAAGGTCGAGGACGCAGGGAATAGCTTTGCCCAATCAAGGAGACCCGCTAGCGTCAGCGCAAAGGCGCTTCAGCTCACAGCCTGCCGGGGAGAGGTGAGGCCGGGTAGACGCTGGGAAGGACTCCCTTCAGGGTCTCCCTATCCTGGCTGCAAGGCTTGGATCACCTTTTCAGCCTCACCACCTTCAAAAACGTGTCCTTGATTAAGCGTGCCCACGTCGCCTTTGCGCCTCCTGAATCTTTGTAAATTTCAGTCGAATATTTGTTCTCACATAGTCAAAGTTCCCAGCTCCAGCAAACTTTTTTTTTAAACTGTGCCAGCCTGTTGCCTAATGGTTAAGGAAGCTGAATCCCACGTGGCCAAACTCAGGGTTCGGATCCTGGCTCTGGCAGTTTGGAAGCCATGCCAGGTGCACGTGCCAGCATGGCTGCACTCCCAATAGCGACACCTCCTGCAGGGTCTCCACAGCAACATCAGCCGTCTCAGCTGGCCCAGGTCGTGGGCACGTGTGTGCGCCCGGCGCGCTTGGGGAGGTGGCGGGATGTGAACCCAGGCGCTCTCCCGTGTACGTCCAGTTGTGTTACCACGTTGCCACGGCCTGTCCCCCGAGTGAACCTTGGGAGGCAGGAATTGGGCCATTCACTTGTTTCGTATGTGCGCGCCTACCCTCGGCTAGGAATCAGTGACGGGTCCTGGATCATGGCCGGTGGCCTAGATTCGCACGCTCTTCACCCCCTCGCCCTGCTCACTGCCCGCTCCAGCCTGAGAGGCTCGGGCCTTCAGAGCCCTCAGCCACGCCTTCAGCAGTACCCCCTTCTCCGCTGCAGAACAAGTCCCGCTTCCTCCCGCAAAGGTGGCGAACGTGGAGGGAGCTGGTCCCCAGGGAGGAGGAGACGGTGAGCCCCGGGGAGGAGACGGTGGAGGCCCTGCTGTGCCTGGTGCACAGCCCGCACTCCCCCTGGGCGCTGCTGGAGGCCTCCAGCCCCGAAGACCGCTACCTGAGAGAGCTGGCCATCCGGAGCCCCCTGGTGCTCAGAGACACCTTCTTCTACTCCTACTTCCGGTGCCTGCGGGTGGTGAACAAGGAGGTGCGTGTGGGGGCGAGCCCAGGCCTGGGGCTGGGGTGGCCACTCCGCTTTGATAGTGACCAGACCGAGTCATGCGGCAGGAGGCCGGGCAGGGCAGGGCACTGTCCCCACAGCCCTCTGGGCCTCTGCCCTCCGTCTCATGCAGCAGCAGCTGTGACCATCAGGGCCAGCAGCTCAGTCGTTCTCTGTGGCGTCTCTTCTGCCCTCGCCCTTGGGGGAGGTTCACTGTGCCTCCTTCCAGCCGATTCTGGGACATTTTGCAGCTGGCCCTCCTGGGCTCGAGCTAAGACCTTCCTGGGAGTCCGTGTCGGCTTTGCTTCATTTGAATGGTGGGGTCGGAGGCCGGGGCGTTGGCTCAGCACTGACTATTCTCTCGCAGCAAATCCTCCTTTGCTTAGCTCAGCATCAGGTCCCAAACCACAAGGAAACTTGCTCTCAGCCTGCCGGAGCCTTCGCCTTGCCTTTCCTGTCCAGAGACGCTGAGAATTTACCCAGCACTGGGGGACAATGACTGGGGCGACCAACTTGTAACTCAGTGCCAGGGACTTCTGCATTTGTGGTGCTGAAAGTTGTGTGTCCCAAAGCCTCCTCCATCCTGGGCGGATGGGCACAACTGGTCATCCTGGGGAAGGGAGGCCCAGCCAGGACGGGAGTCACAGGGAACTGACCATTCGTGGGTAGGCCTGCCCCTGCTCCGAGTAAGCCCCAGTGACCCCTGAAGACCTTAACCGACCTCAGCGCCAGTCGCCGGCCAGCCCTGGCTTTGCTCCCAGCTTACGGTCCAGCGGGGGCCATCGGACACTGGCCCGGAGCTCAGAGAGCACCCGCAGTCAGAGGGCGAGGGTGGCAGAGGCCTGGGAGCCTGGCAGAGGCTGTAGGGCAGGCTTGCAGAGGAGAGGGCTGCAGAGAGGGCTGCAGAGAGCGCTCTGGGTGGAGGAGCGGTCTGCCCGGCTTCTGCCCAGTCCCTCCCCCCGGAGAACCTGCCTCCCCTTCCAGGTGAGCCTGGTGGACAAAGGCCTCCTGAAGTTTCTGAAGCTCGAGGAGTTGGTACTGAGCGCCAACCGAATCAAGGAGGTGGATGCCGTCAACCTGCCCCCGACTCTCAAGGTAAAAGAACCCCCGTTCTGTTTAGGGACTCTGAGTCAGGGCTGCCCAGAGGCCCTGCCACTAACCTGCCCCACGCATGTTTGGCCGGGGTGATCGTGTACCAAGGCCTGGCCCCGGGCTTTTAAAATAGACTCCATGTTCCTCAAAATGTTAAACAGAATTGCCAGGCGGCCCAGCCAGTCCTTCCTAGGTGTACCCTAAAAGATCGAAAGCAGGAACCCAAACACTGCCAGTGTTCACAGTAGCCAAACAGTGGGAGCGACCCAAGTATCTAAGCGGGTGAGAGAGTAAACCACACGGGGTCTAGCCACAAGGAGGAGCGCCGCTCTGCTGCACGCCACAGCACGGCGGACCTTGGAAGGGTTGTGTGTGAAAGAGGCCAGACACGTGGAGCTGGCAGGCACGGTGGTTCAGGCACTGGACTCCCACATGGCTGACTGCAGTTCGAGTCCCAGAGTGGGTGGCTTGTTTTCTCACTTTCCCTCTCTCTCTCTCTGGTCAAAATTTTAAAAATAATAATAATAGGGACCAGCAGATGGCACAATGGTTACATTACTGGACTCCCACATAGTCAACTGCAGTTTGAGTCCTAGACCCAGCAGCTTAAAACTCACACTGGATACATACGTGTGCATGCCCAAAATCCCAAGAGGAGGATAGAAGAGATGGGATTGAGGCGTGGTCATCCTCCGGGGGGGTGATTTCTCACTTTCTGTCTCTCTGTCTCTTTGTCTCTCCAGTGAGTTCATGCGCCCTATGGCAAAAATCACTCTTAAAAAATAATAAGTAAAATTAAATAAGTCACTTAAAAAGAAAAGACACGAAGGAGCACGTATTACATGACTCTACTGAGATGAAACATCTAGAAGAGGCAGCGTTCACAGGGAAGGTGGTCAGAGGTTACAGGGGCTTAGGGGGAGGGACACGGGAGGTACAGCCCAATGGTCACAGCTTCCATTCGGGGCGATGGCCAAGTTTAGAAATAGTGACGGCAGTGGCACACACGGGGAGGTCCGTGCCCCTGAGCTTGCACATAAAGATGCCGTGGGAGAGGCTGCCCCATCGCCTGGTGGTTAAGGTGAACAGATCCCACATGGCCGACTGCAGTTCGAATCCAGCTCTGACAGTGCGAAAGACACACCAGGTGCATGTGCACCTGCGCCCCAAATCCCTGTGGGGTGCAGACATGGAGGAGGGAAGGTCGTAGTGTGACCACCCCGTTGGGGCGCTTACTCCTCTCCCTCTCCGTCTCTGTCTCTCTTTGGCAAATGCAAGCATCCTCTGGCAACTGAAAAATAAAAGAAAGAAAGAAAGAAAGAAAGAAAGAAAGAAAGAAAGAAAGAAAGAAAGAAAGAAAGAAAGAAAGAAAGAAAGAAAGAAATCCACTCTCAGCA